GTCAGTACCCTATTTGATATTTATTTATTAGTCACCACTCTGTTTCAATTATTGCTACATAACCAAACATCCCACATGCAGTGACGTAGAGAAGCAAGGTCTGTCTGTGGAATCAGGTCAGGAACTCAGACATGGCTTGACCAGGCTGTTTTTCTGAATCACTTGCCATTGGCTGGTGATTCCTCCATTGCATTCGGCTGGTGACTGGGTTGGCACGGAAGGTCTCAGAAGGCTCCACTCCATTTCTGGTACCGCAGGGCCCCTCCCTGTGGCCTCCCTCTTCACATTGTTCCTTGTCTATTTAAAATATGGTTAGGCTTCTTCAGAACACAGCAGCTGGAGATCCAAAGCAGAGCCCTGTGCACCATAGACAAGCACCGTGTCTCCAGCTGTTTTCACGATCACAAGCTTTGGAGCAGGGTAGGTGAAGCACACCTATCATCACAGCACTCCGGAGGTGGGAGCCGGAGGATCAGGAGTTCAAGACCACACTGCAAGTTTGAGGCCACCCTGTGCCACATGAGACCCTGTCTCAGAAAAACAAAACCAAACTAACAAACAGATCCTCAAAAGAAAGGTTTTTAAAAAACACATGACTAAGTCTAAGAATGAGAAAAATTAACTCTTCTCCCACTCCTGTTCCCAGGGGTAGCCATTCTTTTTTTTTTTAGGTTTATTTTTATTTATGTGTATATCTCTGTGTATGTATGGCATGTGTGTGAAGGTCAAAAAAGGCCTGTGAGCTGTTCCACATGGTGCTTGTAACTGAACTTGGGCCCTCTGCAGAAGCAGTAAACACTCCTAACCCTGGGCATCTCTCTGGCACCACCATTCTTTTTTTGCAATAGTTTATCTATTATATGTATTCAGTGTATTTTGATCATATTCACCCCTCCCTTCTCTCCAACTCCCCTTGGCTCCCTCAAAACCCCCTCCAAACTTCATGCAGTCATGTCTGAAAGGACAGTCTTTCATTCTCAGGCTCTTACATTCGCTCTTTCTCTTCTGAACATTGTGGGGCAGGTGGTGGTGATACAGACATCCCAGTGATGGCTGAGCACTCAGTAGTCACTCGGTCTCAGCACTTGGACAATTTATAAGTCTCTATATTAACTGCTTTCTATTGCAAAAAAAAAAGTCTCTGACCAAGGTTGTGAGAAGCACTATATTTATATAGTATAAACATGAATATTTCAAAGACAGTTTCACAACTTTAGCAATCAGAAAAAACAACAGTAGTAGATTTCCCTTAGGAAATTATGACCTCTGAAGCCATGGGCTTTAGAGTATGAGCAATGAATCCCCTCCTTTGGAGCAGGCCTCAACTCAAACCAGAAAGAAGTTGATTACACCCTAAACAGTCATGCCACTACGACACCAGGGGCATGTCTTGCCTAGGAGTTCTGTATTGTATCATACACAGTACAGTGATGAGTAAGACCATTGATAGATACCTTTCCTTCTAAAGTGGCCTGAACATAAATTAAAATAGTGTCCTTCTGACACTGAGAACTAGCTACCAGGAAAGAAGTCTCCTGATGAATTACACACTGATTTCTTCATGTCTTTCAATGAAAGTGTGCAGTGTCTTCAGCCATAGGGGCTTACCTTCTAGTTACAGTGGGTGGGCGACCAAGAGCAATGCCAATAGCCCGTGTTGGGGGCCATTCTTATTCTTTCAGAGCTAAGATACACACTTTATAAGGATAAATGTCATTTTATATATCTCCTGAAAGGCCACGTAGGCGATATATAACTGGTAGAATAACATAACTAAGCATCTGGCTCCCCCATCAATCTAACTTGCAGATCGGTATATATAAATCATCCTCTTTTTTGTTTTGTTTTATTCGCATTCGTGTTTTGCCTTCATGTATGTCTGGGTAAGGGTGTCAGATGCCCTGGAACTGGAGTTACAGACAGTTGTGAGCTGCCAGTGCTCTTAATCTCGGAGTGCTTTCTCTCCCCTGTTTCTCTCTCTCTCTCTCTCTCTCTCTCTCTCTCTCTCTCTCTCTCTCTCTCTCTGGTGTCTGTGTAGCCCTGGCTGTCCTGGAATTTGCTCTTTGAACCAGGCTGGCCTTGAACCTGCCTCTGCCTCCTGAGTGCTGGGATTCAAAGTGTGTGCCTCCATGACTGGTTCCTGTCCTCTTTCTTTTACATGGTTGCACAGAACCACAGTTCTGTTGCAGGACTGGGGGTGGTGATTCTGCCTTCAGCAGACTGGAACAAGCAGACATTACAGACTGTGATGACAAAGACCATGAGATTTAGAAGGGGGAGGTAGAGGCAGCATCAAACAGGAACAATATGACATCTGGAGAGCTGGGAATTATGCAGTCTTAAAGGGAAGGCAAGGAGAGTCCTTGGAGAGTGCCTCAGAACAGTCTCCACTGTTCTGTGTCCGTCCCTTCCCCCCTCCCGTCTCTCATACCAACCTCTTTATGTTTCCTTAACAATTATTTTGCCAGGTGGTGGCGCGGCACACACCTTTAATCCCAGCACTCAGAAGGGAGGCAGGTGGATCTCTCAGTTGGAGACCAGCTTTGTCCACATTTCCACGACAGCCAGAGCAACACAAAGAAACCTTGTCTCGAGAAACAAAACAGAAAAAACAAACAACAACAACAACAACAACAAAAAAAAAAAACCCAAAAAACGTAGAAGTGGAATGTTAGGTTGCACAGGAGATAGGAAGTAGAAAGAAAATAACTAAAAATGAAACTGCAACAGCTTGTTTATTGAGGAGAAAGAATGGGAGGTGGTATTATCTAATTGATAGATAGAAGAGAGGGATTGAAAAATGGGTGAGTCTCTAAACGGATTAGAAGGGTTCCTTAATAAAAGGGCGAGGGTTAGCGTGAGAGGACACAACGTCTCTTTCCAGGAGAGGAAAAGGAAGGCTTTGGTGGCAGGTAGATATTTCTACAGCAGGAGAGAGTCAGGAAGAAATGAATTGTCCTCTGTCATGATTTCCTCGGGGTTCCTCACTATACAATGTTAAAATTGTTTTGCTTGCCTCACAGTTTCAGAACAATCCATACTTGTCGTGGTTCCAGGACTCTGGCTGCACCCCCGAAGTCCTCCCTAGTATTTTCCGAAACAGCTACTCTTGGAACACAACAAGTGTGAAACTCTGCTGCTAGACAATGTGCATTGCTGGACCTACAAACTTACATTTACTCCATTTAAGATAGATAGATAGATAGATAGATAGATAGATAGATAGATAGATAGATAGATAGATAGATAGACAGATACTCCGAATCTAAAGGTCCTGTACACAATGCCCTAACTGGTTCCTCCAACTCAGCGGCCTCACCAGTGTGTTATCCGCTTCAGTGCGGGAGCAGAGAATCACGCAGCCTCGAGAAAGGTCACTGCAAACCAAGGGTGTCCTGCAGTTAACGGAGCCTGGGCTCTGGCCGCCCTAACAAGATCCTATCTCTGGCCTAAGCTACCTGTCCTCTAAACCAACTAAAAAGACAACAGTAAAAGGAATGTATTCAACATGACTACATTAGGAAGAAGAACGAAGGGGTCAGTCCAGTAACACCCCCCATGAGGTTTAAATAAAAGGCAAGAGATAGGCTCAAGACGTGAACATACCTCAGCTCTTGGTCTGTTCTGCAAAGTGACAAGTTATCAGAACTGGGAAATGTGAAGGGGCCCCAAAATAGCTTGACCACACAGCAGCCATGACATGACAGGCTTAGGGGCCTAGACACAGCTTCTGTGACAGGCTTACTGGCAGGCAACATCCAGATCCAGGAAAAGCCTTAAGCTGATACCACCCAGGGATCTACCCAGGGGTGAGGAAGTACCTGACATCCCAAACATTCCAACCATTAGATAAGTGGCCAGATGTCCTTGAGTCTAGCACACACCTATTTTTTGTTTTACAGATACCCCGCCTGAGCTCAGGGCTCTGTGTTCTCACCGCTGTGTCAGACAGAGGGACCAAGCTCCGAGCTTGAGCTTGAAATAAAGGCTCTTTGCTTTTACATGCGGGATTCGGTCACCGTGGTGGTCGTTTGGGGGTCCCTGCAATCTGGGCATAACAGGAAACAAGCTCCCTCTCTGATTTGCACCGGGAACCCCATCTTTTCTTCCCCCAGGAAGGGACTCTTGAGGACATTCTAATTCCCTGGGTCCTGTTATCCTATTAGTCCAATATCAAAAGGAGAGGCACAAGTGTCTCTCTTTAGAATATCTGCCGACCTCTCAGGATGGCCACACAGCTTCAACTGAGGCATCCACGTGGCCAAACTTTATTGTTGAGCCTAAAACAGTCACATTTGTACACCAGTGCTCACATTACCTCCTGCCCGTGCCCAGGTAACCCCACTCTCGCATGCCCTAGTCTCTTCCTGCCTCGCTCCTCGCTCTACCCTTTGGGGTGGGCACGCGGCAAACGCACACTCGTGAAGACGTGACGTCATTCGAGGGAAAAGGAGCGATCTTCGTTAGGGAACAGTCGGTAATTGAAGCTTGAAGACAGTTCGTGTTTTCACTTTTGTTATTTTTCTTGAGACAGGGTCTCGCCCAGCTCAGTCTGCCTATGTGGCTGGTCTCGAATTCCTGATCCTGCTGCCTCACAAGTGCTGGGCTTACAAACGTGTGCAATCATGCTCTACGAGGTAAGATTTTCACTTCTTTTTTTTCTTGTACCTCTCACAGTTTGAGGAGTTAACTTGCAGTAGCCTCCGTCCTCAAGCGTGGCCTACCGTTACCGTGGAAACGCCTAGGCAGCTAGGTCCGTTCCCTAAGTCTTCCGTGGCGGCTAAAGCGCGCCCTGGCACCATTGGTTCCGCCCTTCGCTAAGCATCTTGCCCGCAGTGGCTGATGCGTCCTCAGCAATCTTGATCCCTGCCGGACGCCGTCACCCGCTCCTGCTTAGCTCCCCCCACTCCGCGGGAGGCCTCCTCCCCAGCCGGCCTCCCCCGCGGCCCCGCCCCTGCCTGGAGGCCCCGCCCCCGTGAATCAGCTGATCTCGCGTCCCCGCGGTGCAGTCGGGCTCGCGCCGGGCGGAGAGCGCGGAGCTGCGGGAGCGTCAGGTGAGCCCGCGCGGGTCCGGCCGGTCCTGGGGTTCGAAGGCGGGTCGGCCGAGGTGCGGGAGCGCGCTGCGCCGGCCTGCCGGGACAGCGCCTGCCTGTGGAAGTGCCTCGGACGCGGTGGCTCGGCCCGGGTCCCACCCTCCGGGTCCCGGCGCCACTGCCGTGGTCGGGCTGTGTGGCATTCCTTCGTGTCCCCTCTTCCCGCCTCCACCCACGCTGCTTTCCGCCCATTCACTCAGGAGGGTTTCTGGAATGCCCACGGTGGGCGCCGAGCTGGCAAGCCCGCGAACCTTGCTGAGTGTCCAAGGTGGGTTTGCCCCCAGGATGCAAAATCGCGGTGAAAAGTGGACCGGGCGGCGGGGGGGGGGGGGGGGGGGGGGGGGGGGGGGGGCTTTTGGTGGCGTGAAACAGCGTTTGTGGAAAATAAGAAGGACTTTGATGTAAGTCACTGGTAGTTTGGCCATATCCTATCAAATGATCCACCAGAGGCGAGAATAAGCATCGTGGAGGCAGGAAAGAACACAGGGGCGATCTTGAGGAAATGGTCCTCACACTGATGTTGGTCCTCCAGGCAACCAGGGCTGTTTTGTTGGAGACAAGCAACTGTAGATTGGTAGACACAAGCTACTGTTTAGGACTTCTGTGGTGACCAAAGAGGAAAAAAAAGCACACTGGTTGAATTGGGGTGGCCAAGAAAGGCACTTTCTTTTTGGTTTAGGATGGAAAGGGGGAATAACTAACTGCTGTACCCCAATTAAGGTTCTTGTTCTATTGCCCTTACATTTCTCACTCCTGGCAAGGATAAACTGTGTGATGTAGGTTTATTCTGAGCAGGTACAGAAATGCAGCAAAGCCGTAGGTCCTACTTTCTTGTTTTTGTGTTTGTCATACATATGTGTTAGGTCATTGAGATCAGTGAAACATTTGCTTTTTATTTCATATTTTTTGATTCAGGGACTCATTGTGTAGGCCAGTCTGGCCTGGAACGTGTGGAGCTCCCCCTGCCTCAGCATCCTGAGGATTGGGTTATAGGTGGGTGCTGCCATACAAAGAGTGAATTGTAGTGTTTTAACGTTAGTAATAGAAGCACAGTGATGAAGAGGTCTAGGCTTTGGAATACCTTGAACACGTTTCTTTGAGCCTCTTTGCCTCAGTTTCCTTATCTCTGCACTAGCCCTTCTTGGTATTAGTACCTTTACATGTACGGTTCATGCATCATTTATTACTGTGCCTGGACCACGGGAGATGCCCAGTATATATTAACTGTTTTTTATAGTTCCTAATTTCTTCTAGTATATCACGAATCAGGCTACATTGTGACCTTTTCTTTTCTTTATTTCTTTTTTGTTTAGTCTTTAGTTTTTCAAGACAGGGTTTCTCTGTGTAGCTTTGGAGCCTGTCCTGGATCTCGATCAGTAGCCCAGGCTGGCCTCGAACTCACAGAGATCTACCTGGCTCTGCCTCCCGAGTGCTGGCATTAAAGACGTGTGCTGCCGCCACCACCACCTCCCGGCAGGAAATAATTTTATGATTTTTTTTTTTTTTTTTTTGGTTTTTCGAGACAGGGTTTCTCTGTGTAGCTTTGCGCCTTTCCTGGAACTCGCTTTGGAGACCAGGCTGGCCTCGAACTCACAGAGATCCACCTGGCTCTGCCTCCCGAGTGCTGGGATTAAAGGCGTGCGCCACCACCACCTGGCAATTTTATGATTTGTATTCAGAGGAAAAAATGATTTCAAGTTGATCTCTTTGGTATTTCATAAAGGCATTTTAATATGGAAAATATGCTGATATAATCTACACCTAGTCATTATTACTTTCTAAATTATGACTGGTGTTGGCAGATTTAGAGTTCATAGCTAAATAAGAAAATTCAAAGCTGTTTCATAATGTTGAAATTTGAAAACATGGGCCGGTGAGATGGCTCAGTGGGTAAAGGTACTTGTCACCAAACCTAATGACTTTAGTTCAGTTCCTGAAACCCAGTGATAAAGGACAAACTGACTGCCTGGAGTTGTCCTCTGGCCTCTAAGGCATACATGCGCACACATGCAAAATAATAAATGTAATAAAGTTTTTGAAAAATTGAAAACATGGTAGTCTATAGTAGTATTAAACAGGTAATTTAGGAAGAAAACTTGAATAGTGTTCACATACCACACATATTTATTTTTGAGACAGGGTCTTGATTTGTAGTTCAGGCTGGTCATGGATTCTCGATTCTCCTGCTTCAGCTTCTGGACTGCTGGGATTGCAGGTGTGTGCTACCACGCATATCCCTACCTTGGGCAGCTGGACTGTCAAAGAAGTAAAGGATATTTTACTGGTGAGAATATTGCTGGAGTTGTGATTTCAGTTTTTATGTGATTAGATGAATTTAAAACAAGCAATACCTGATGCTGAGTCTTTTTGGGGGGAGGTGGTCTTAGGTATCCCAGGCTCCCCTCAAACATGCTGTACAGTTGAGTGGTGGGGGCTGGCCTTGAACTCTTGGTCCTGTTGCCCCCATCTCTGGAGTATTGGGATTTCAGGCCTACAGCTGTCCATGCCAATTCCTCCTAACTATTTCTAAAGAATGCCACCAGCTCACAAGAGCTTTCTATAGTTCTTATTTCTTCTGATGAAGCAGAGGTGACGTTTGAGAGGACGATTTGTGTTGTGACAGGGTCTGTCCTGCTTTGCTTCTCTTGCCGTGACAGACACCATGACTTGGGGGTTTATGTGGTTCACATCACCCCATTACTTGAGGGAAGTCAGGGCAGGAAGGCAAGCAGGGGCCTTATGCTGGCTGGAAGCCATAGGACCAAGAGTTCAAGGGCAGGAGTCCTGGAGGAAAGCTGCTTACTGCCTTGCTTTTAGGCTTACTCTAAGCTACCTTTCTTATACCTCCTCGGTCCACCTGCCCAGAGCTGGCACCGTCCACAAAACCCAACCAGCCCAAGGTCTCAGTCTGTTACCCAGACTAGCCTGGAACTCACTCTGTAGGCCAGGCTGGCCCCAGTTTCCCAGGGCTGGATCACAAGCACGAACCACAACACCCTGCTCAAGAAAAGATTTGTTTTTTTTTTTTTTGAGACAGTGTTTCTCTGTCTAACAGGCCTGGCTGTCCTGGAACTCCCCCTATAGACCAGGCTGGTCTCCAACTCACAGAAATCCGAATGCTGAAGAATCAGGCATAGGTGTTGAGAGAAAGGGACACCTTAGTGAGTTCCAGGCCAGCCTGGTGTACATGGTGAGCTGCAGGACAACCAGAGCTACATAGTAAGACCCTGTCCCCAAAAATTGAAAAGAGAAAGAGATGGAGAAAGAAAGGAAGAAAGAAAGGAAACGGCTTCTCAGCTGGGCACATGGTGATGGGTGCTTGCTGACTCCAGAGTCTGAATCAGGGAGATTTCAAGTGGGTGACATAGGTGTAGGCCAGCCTGAGTTGAGCTACAGAGTAAGGTTCCCCATGTCAAGTGAAAAAACAAAAAAACAAAAAACTGAAGACTTCAAGAGGGTTGTGCTTAAGTGTCTTATCTCTCTCTCTGTGTGTGTGTGTGTGTTGGTGGCTTTGAAGTTACATTATTCAAAGGGTTTAAAACATTAACCCAGGCATGCCTATAATCTCAGCATAGAGGCAGGAGGCTCAGGAGTTCAAGGTCATCCTTAGTTGTATATAGCCCTTTGAGGCTAGCCTGGGGCTCTAAAAGACTGCCTCAACTTCTCTGTTCCATATTTAAAAAAAAAAAAAAAAGGAAAATACTTTTAATTAAGTAAATACATTTTCATATACTTATTTTATTTAAAGAACTTTTCTTTGGTAAATGAGATTATAAAGTGGTTTATGGTGCATCGTGTTGGTTAGTAGTTTGGAATATAAAAAGGTCAAAAGAATCCTTTCTGCAGGCCCGAGGATATCTAGGTCTATGCTTTAACCATTTTTAAATTACATTTATTGATGGTGTATGCTTGTGTTTGCCAGTGCACGTGGCGCTCAGGAGACAACCTGACAGAGTCTCCTCCCATCGTGCTAGGCAAGCACTCTGCCAACTAAGCGCCATTCTCACCTTCTCTGTAGCTTGGGGGCCTGTCCTGGAACTCACTCTGTAGCCCAGGCTGGCCTTGAACTCACAGAGATCCGCCTGGCTCTGCCTCCGAGTGCTGGGATTGAAGGCGTGCGCCACCACCGCCCAGCTTTCTAGTGCTTCTTAATACTGAGCAGGGTTGTGGATCCTGCTTGGCCAAGGATGGATGGTCTCTGCTGCATGATCTCAGGGGCTCATGAAATCCTGGAGATTGGAGGACCATTTTTCAGTAGGAATTTGGAAGACAAGAAGTCATTACTTGAGACGTCAGACTGTATAAGCAATACAGCATTCGTAGATTGTTCTACCTAATCCCCAGATTTAACTCTGTTAACACGAGACTTGGTGAGTGTGAGTTGAACAAGGAGGGAGGAGGGTAGGTGGTGACAGTCCAGGTGTCCCCATCTGCTCTGATAGCATCTGAACTGCTGCCGTCACTGGGAGGAGGGGCTTTGAGCTCTTCAGTGACTTCTAGACCGTAGCTCCATTCAGAACTTTTGCAGAATTAGGTTTATCACAGATTCCAACTGTATTAAAGACCGATTTTTTTCTTGGTAGGATCTTCTCTTTCCCTCCCTCCCTTCCCCTTCTCTCTTTGTTTTTTCCTTTCTTTCTCCTCCCTCCCTCCCTTCCTTCTGGCAGTCTTTATAGCCTCATGGATTTTCTTTTTCTTTTTCTTTTTGGTTTTATGATTTAGAGTTTCTTTGTCCTGGATCTCGCTCTGTAGACCAGGCTGGCCTTGAACTCACAGCGATCCACCTGCCTCTGCCTCCCGAGCGCTGGGATTAAAGGAGTGCGCCTTCACTGCCCAGCTAGCCCTAGTATTTGAAGTCTTGATCCTCCTGCCTCCACTCTCCAAGTGTTGGGATCATAGGTATATGCACCACACCTGGCTTGGATTTGTGTGTGTGAGTGTGTGTGTGTGTGTGCATGTGCATGTGCGTGCACGTACAGAGGCTAAAGGTCACCATCTGCTGTCTTCTGCCATCCCTCTTCCCTTTACTTACTTATGTGTGCAATGGGGTCCCTCATTGACTCTGGGGCTCACTATTTCAGCTAGACCGGCTAGCCAGTAAGCTCCTGGTCCTGTGGCATGCTGTTTCTCCCACCACACCTCCCCAGAGCTGGGGTTACAGACACAGGCTGCTGACCTGGCTTTTACCTGGATGGTGGAGATCCAAACAGGCACTCAGGCCTGTGAGCCAGCAGCTTACCTAGTGAACAGTCTCCTCAGCCTGGCCTT